AATCATGAGTGAAAACTTCCCAAACCTAAAGAAAGAATCAGATAACCAAGTACAGGAGGCTCAGAGGGTCCCAAACAGGAAGAACTCAAACAGACCCACACCAAGACATATCATAATCAAGATGGCCAGAGTCAAGGATAAAGAAAGGATCCTAAAGGCAGCAAGAGAAAAACAGAGTGAGTTACAAGAGAACCCCCATAAGGCGCTCAGCTGATTTCTCTACACAAACACTACAGGCCAGAAGGGAGTGGCAAGATATATTCAAAATCCTGAATGAAAAAAAAAAAAGCAGCCTAGGATACTCTATCCAGCAAGGCTATCCTTTAGGATCGAAGGAGAGATAAAGAACTTCACAGACAAGCAAAAACTAAAAGAGTTTAGCAACAATAAACCCATGCTAAAAGAAATATTCACAGGCCTACTCTAAATGGAAAAGAAGCAGTATGCTACAAAAATGAGAAACTTATAACTGGAAAGGAGATAACTGCCATGAATTATAAAAAGAATAAACACAAAATTCTAAAAGAAGACATCTAAATCATTAAGAGTGGGAGAGGGAAGCAAGTAAAGCCACTGTGGAAACAGTACGGAGATTCCTCAAAAGACTACAAATAGACTTACCATATGACCCACTCCTGGGCATATATCCAGAAGGAACCTTACTTCAGGATGACACCTGCAGCCCAATGTTCATAGCAGCACTATTTACAATAGCCAAGACATGGAAGCAGCCTAGATGTCCATCAACAGATGACTGAATAAAGAAGATGTGGTATGTTTATATGATGGAATACTATTCAGCCACAAAAACCGACAACATAACGCCATTTGCAGCAACATGGATGTTCCTGGAGAATGTCATTCAAAGTGAAGTAAGCCAGAAAGAGGAAGAAAAATACCATATGAGATCGCTTATACGAGGAATCTAAAAAACAAACAAAACATAAATACAAAACAGAAACAGATTCACAGAATACAAACCTGTGGTTGCCAAGGGAGTGAGGGGTGGGAAGGGACAGACTGGGATTTTAAAATGCAGAATAGATAAACAAGATTATACTGTATAGCACAGGGAAATATATACAAGATCTTGTGGTAGCTCATAGCAAAAAAAAATGTGACAATGAATATATCCATATTCATGTATGACTGAAAAATTGTGCTCTACACTAGAATTTGACACAACACTGTAAAATAACTATTACTCAAAAAAATGTAAAAAAATGAGGATATTTTTATAATACCCCTCAGAAAATAGGTAGAAAAGCAAAAATGATTAAGGCTAGAGAAGCTTTGGCTGACACAATTTTTAAAAGTTTGATGAAAGAGATGTACATAGAACCTTCCATCCAACCAGCACAGTCGAAAAATTTAATTTGACTACCAATTCACTCAACTAGAGAGTCAAACTAAAAACTTTTGCAGCAAAAGAAAACATCAGCAAAATGAAAAGTGAGCCTATGGAATAGGAAAAAATACTTGTAAACTGTCTATCTGCTAAGGAGTTAATATCCAAACTATATATATGGAACTCATCTCAATAGCAAAAAAAAATCGTATTTAAAAATGAGCAGCAGAACTGAATACACATTTTTCCAAATAAGATATACAAATGGCCAATAGGTACGTGAAGTCTCTCAACTCACTAACCATTAGGGAAATGTAAATCAAAACTACAATAAGACATAATCTCACACCTGTTAGAATGATTATTATCAAAAAGACAGCAAGTGTTGGTGAGGCTGTGGAGAAAAGAGAATCCTTGTGCACTGTTGGTGGGAATGTAAATTAATACAGCCATTATAGAAAACAGAATTGAGGTTCTTCAAAAAATTAAAAACAGAACTAATATATGATCCAACAATCCCACTTCAGAGTATATATCCAAAAGAAACAAAATCACTATCTTAAAATTACTATCTGCACCCCATGTTTATTTTAGAATTACTTAGAAATAAATAATAAAATTTATGAATTCATAATAGTGATTGCCTTCAAAGAGCAGAGGGAAGAAAATAAACCTGGGATTGGTGATTCGAAGGAATTTTAGCCATGTCAGTACTATTTTTTCTAAGAAGAAAAATTGGGAACAAATGTGACAAATGTTACATTACAGGTAGTGTGACTATTGATTCCTGAGATACTGTGATTTTTAGCATTTTTAAAATAACTGAAAATGAAAAGAAAGCATATAAAACAAATATACTATAAAGTCATGAGGAAGCAGGTAATCATGACAAATATATCTGTAGATTACCAGTGTGTCCACCTGCAAAAGATTCAGCCCTTTTTGCAGTGCAACCTATCCCTTCAAGTTCTTGGAATCTCTAAAGAAATAACTACACATTTTCACTGAAATCTTCTATCAGAATAAACCTCTTCTGGTTTCCTTTATGTTATCGACTGCCCATGAGGCTATTTGAAGAAGCTGCCCTTAATAGTGAAGAGAACATAGAGCTTGCTCTCAGAGAAGGGAGCGACAACCTGGGCAAATCCAGTGGGGAACAGTGGTGAGGACTACAGAGATTAAGAATGTCGGTGGAGATTGGGAGAGAAAAATGGCAAAGACCAAGAAAGCAGCTCAACTGAAACAGGTGGGGATGTGACACATTTCCTGATTTCACACAATCAGAGACCTAGATGGGAAAGGAAAGAGTGAGCTCCATCTCTAGCTGTGGCCATTCCTTCCATAACATTCTCAAGGCAAGGTGGTCCTTTCTTAATCTCTCTTCTTTTCACTACTATTCAGTCTGTGATGCTCATCTTAATAATGACATCAGTGATAATGTGTTTTTGTTTCATCAGACAACTACACTAATTTGTTCATTTGCCTTTTTTATTAAAGCAAGACCTGAG